ATATTAAAAGAGCTGCCAAGCAGCAGCTATTAGCTCAGAAGCAGGAAGCCATAGCCTCACATTCCATCTAAATTACGTTAAAACGGGCTCACATATTAGGTGCCCCCATAGGTAGAACATTTGCTGTATTATCAAATTGTGTGGTTCCCATTCACGGTCCCTTGATAGGAATCTGCTAAGGCTGTCCACAAGTTTTTTGCATTGCTCCAGGAGGGATGTGGTAACTGATGCACCAATTCCATAGGTTGACGGCTATTGCCCATAATGGAGTGGATTTCGCATCACTTGGTCTGTTGATATAGATTACTGTTGACTTGTTCAATCGTACTTGTGCATGTCTCACCGCTGTGCATGGGAGGAAGCATTTGCAAGCCCTGCGGACTGCTTGCAGTTATAGCAGATTTATATGCATTCTGAACTCTTGAGGTGTCCAAGTGTCTTCTGCCATTTGTTCGTCCAGATGGATGTCCCAGCCTAGGGAGGAGGCATCCAGAATTAATACTTTTTCTAGTGGTGGTGGTGGTGGAGTGAAAGGAATTCCTGTGCACACATGGTGGCTGTTTGCCCATCAGTTTACTGAGTCCTGTATTCTCTGAGCGATGGCTCTTTTTCCATGCAGTCTCTGCTTGGGATGTACACTGTTTTGAGCTAAGTTTTGAGCTAAGGCACAAAGTCGGAGCCTTGCAAATGGTGTTACATAAGTACAGGCTGCCACTGGCCTAAGAGTGAGACAAGTTTGAACCCAGGTCTGTGGACTGGCCTGAAGCTCCATGACCATTGCTGTCATTGTCAAAAATCTGTCCTCTGGCAGGAAAGCTCTGGCTGTGACAGAGTTCAGTGTTGCTCCAATGAATTCTTCTGTCTATGTGAGGACTAATAACGATTTCTCTTTGTCTACAGAGATGCCCAGAGACTGATGCAGCTAGAATAGGAGCTCTTGTTGCAGAATGGACCTCTTAGTGAGATCTCCCAGTCAGTAACTGTTTGTCGAGGGGCAGAAATATTGAGAGTCCCTTGAGGTGAAGGTGGGCTGCCACTGACATCATTTCCGTAAACAGCCTTGGGGCTGTAACAAGACTGAAGCGAAGAAGCTTGTATTGTTAACGATAGGAACCTATGGTAAACCTGAGAACTTTCCTGTGTGCAAGCGAGGTACATGAAAACAGGTATCCTTCATGTGAATTATGAACTAGTGTCCTTTGCTTAATGATAGAATTACTGCTGCCAACTTACCATTCTAAATCGTGTTGCTAGGATATAGACACTGAGTTGCTGTAGGCTTATGTTTTTTTCTTTGAATTATGAAGTATTTGTAACAGAATCCTCCTCCATGGTAAAGGGGAGAACCCAGGTTCTGTGGCTCACAGTTGAAGAAGGGAGTCTATCTCCTTGTGAGAGTGATCCCTGAAGAGAGATCGAGACAGTGGATGAGGAGGGGAAAGGGAGAGAAATTCTACTGTATATCCTGTTTGGATAATATCAAGAAGTCATCTGTTGGATGTAATGCTCTGCCTGTTGTCAAAGAAGTGGGCTAAATGGCCCCCAAAGCAGAAAAAGTTAGACAAATTAGGCTACGGAAATGGTTTGCAGCCCCTTAGGTTCCAGTTGGAAGGAGGAGGCAGAAGGAGTTGTTTGTCTAAGCCTCTGTAGTTGTGTGCACTTCCTTGGGGGCTCATAAGGCCCATGATGGAAAAATGGTTCAGTAGTTGATTTTTGTCTCTTGCATAAATCCGGAGGGAGCAGAGAATTGCCCTGGATACTTTTAACGAACATAGGGACTCGTTCACCTTTCACTAAAAATCTAAGTTTCCTCTGAAGGGCAGATCCTCTATTGTGACTTAGCGCTCCTTCAGGAACCCTGATGAGTAAGCCACTCTTCTCACAACCACAGCAGTAGCTACTGACCAAGCAGCCATGTCAGCCGCATTGAAGGCAGTTTGCAGTGATGACTTCACAGTCACATTTCCCTCTTAGATGAGTACTTCAAACTGTCCTCTAAGCTATGGACGTGTTATTCCTTGACTTTAGCAAAGCTTTTGACACGGTCTCCCACAGTATTCTTTCCAGCAAGCTAAAGAAGTATAGGCTGGATGAATGGACTATAAGGTGGATAGAAAGCTGGCTAGATCCTTGGGCTCAACAGGTAGTGATCAATGGCTCCATGTCTAGTTGGCAGCCGGTATCAAGCAGAGAGCCCAAAGGTTGGTCCTGGGGCTGGTTTTGTTCAAAATCTTCATTAATGATCTGGAGGATGGTGTGGATTGCACCCTCAGCAAGTTTGCAGATGACACTAAACTGGGAGCAGTGGTAGATATGCTGGAGGTTAGGAATAGGATACAGAGGGACCTAGACAAATTGGAGGATTGGGCCAAAAGAAATCTTATGAGCTTCAACAAGGACAAGTGCAGAGTTCTGCACTTAGGATGGAAGAATCTCATGCACTGCTACAGACTAGGGACTGAGTCCCTAGGCAGCAGTTCTGCAGAAAAGGACCTAGGGGTGACAGTGGACGAGAAGCTGTATATGAGTCAACAGTGTGCCCTTGCTGCCAAAAAGGCTAACAGCATTTTGGGCTGTATAAATAGGAGCACTGCCAGCAGATCAAGGGATATGATCATTCCCCTCTATTTGGCATTGGTGAGGCCTCAACTGGAGTACTGTGTCCAGTTTTGGGCCCCACACTACAAGAAGGATGTGGAAAAATTGGAAACAGTCCAGCGGAGGGCAACAAAAATGATTAGGGGCTGGAGGACATGACTTATGAGGAGAGGCTGAGGGAACTGGGATTATTTAGTCTGCAGAAAAAAAGAACGAGGGGGGATTTGATAGCTGCTTTTAACTACCTAAAAGGGGGTTCCAAAGAAGATTGACCTAGACTGTTCTCAGTGATAGAAGATGACAGAACAAGGAGTAATGGTCTCAAGTTGCAGTGGGGGAGGTTTAGGTTGGATATTAGGAAAAACTTTTTCACTAGGAGCGTGGTGAAGCACTGCAACGGGTTACCTAGAGAGGTGGTGGAATCTCCTTCCTTAGAGGTTTTTAAGGTCAGGCCTGAGAAAACCCTGGCTGGAATGATTTAGTTGGGGCTAGGTCCTGCTTTGAGCAAGGGGTTGGACTAGATGACCTCCTGAGGTCCCTTCCAACGCTGATATTCTATGATTCTCATGTGGAATCTTATCTGAAAACTCTATCTTGTAGTTCACAAGGCTGTACTTGGCAAAAAGCACCTGACAGTTTGCTATTGTGAATTGCAGGCTGGTAGCTGAAAAGATCTTTCTGCCAACAGTACAGTCCTTAGCTTCCTTATCAAGTGGAAAAGATCATATCTGGTGTTGCCTGTTTCTCTCTGATGCTGCTTGGGCAACCAGTGGATTTGGTGCTGGATGACTAAATAAAAATTCTGTCCGTTTGGCTGGGAAAAAACACATCTTGTCCATCCTTTTAAGGGTGGGAGCACAAGTGGCAGGTGTGTGCCACACCACCTTTGCTGGTTCGATGATCACGTCATTAATTGATAGTGCAATTTTACTGAGTCCGATGCTCTGAAGGATATCAGAGTTTGTGGGATGCCTCCTGCACCTCCACCTTATCAGGTAGCAAGAGCTATGCTACAAAAGTTACTGTTCTTGTAGTGTAGTTTCTTGATAAGCGCAATGTAGGCATTAAATGTGTTAAAAGTCCTAGCCCAGATGCCCTCAAATTCTGAATATAAGAAACTAGACAACATATTGACAATATAACTCAATTATTAGTACTTTTGTACTGGCAAAGACAGTGAGATCAAGTCATACAACAAATCTTGTACTAAAATGGTGATGCTATGCTGCACTACAAGATGCTGCTTCATGTTATAGGCACCATCCTGTGGATAAATTCTGAAGGTGGAGATTAAGACAATTTTCAAAGCAAGAAAGGAATTTACCTGATAACCTCTCCAATGTCCCACTCTTAGGGATTTGCAGGAGGATAGGGGTTCTAAAGTTCAAGATTATTTGAACAATTATTAAATGCCTCCATGTGCCTAATCATTCTATATTAAGAGTATTTGAACAATAAAGTTTGAGTATTAAAGACAATATACAACCAAATTCTATTATCTAGGAATATTCTGCCTCTGACTCTGTGGCTGAGGAGGGGGCCATGGAAGTGGAATTAGCTGCTGCCTAAGGAGCAGGAAGGGTTTGTAGGGAAAGGATGCACACCCTTTAGGGGAACTGGAGCCCCATTCTTTATGGTGAAGGGTTGTTCGGTTCCTGCACAGCACCAAGCAATGAAAGAACACAACTACATTATGGGAGGGGTGAACGGCTACTCAGGCTGGACTCCTGGGTTCAGGATTTGATAGGATAGAGTATAAGAACGACATGCATAACTAAACAATTGATTCACTTTTGTTTGTTTGTTTAAAATGTGATTTAAATTGCAAGGATAAACTGTTTTGCATACTCAGAATATAATTTTCTCATAATTAAAACACACACATTCACATTCAGAAAAAGGATTAATAATCTTGTATTCTCTGAATGCTAACAACATACAGCAGGTTTTACATAATTTGCTTCATTTGCCAAATTGGCTGTTGGACTGTCAGAGAGGACCAAAACTGCTGTTTTTCACAGTCCCAAAAATATAGAAACAAACTAATTCCACTAAGCTCTTTGTCATTCTGAAATACAGTACTAATAGAGTACTGACTCCATATTCTCATCACAGAAGCAAGGAGATTATATTTAAATGCAGGCACACACAGGCACAGTAGCTTGACAGAAGTTTTGAAACTGAAAAATTTCAACTCCAGTAGTGGCACATCTGGATATTTACTCCAAAAACCTCAGTAAGCAGCCTCTGTTTTGAATTATATTGATAGGAAATGTGGAGATTTTAAGATTCTGCTGAAAGGGGATGACAGCTTAGTCAGCCTGCTAGAGTCACAAGGCCTAAGCATTTCCAAACTTTCCTTTTCTTTTAAAGTATGAATGAGAATGAAATGTTATACTCACAGTGTTTGGTACATATGGTAATCCATAAAATTTCTCCTGGGTTTCCTTTAAAATTTCTGTGGTTGACCTCTTTAGAGGATGTTCCCCATGGTAGAGTTGGTCCAAGACAGCATAAAAGACCTAGACAGATAAAACATATATTCAGCTTTGGCTCACAGTCTTGGCATTTGACATGTGGTTAACCAACGAAGACAGAGGCAATAGAATAAATCATGAGAACTTAAAATATGTACATTTCCTGGCTCTTCTATTTTTGGTATAAAATAAAAGGATAAGGGGACTGATCCTTGTGCTGAGTGCCCTCAACTCCAACTGACGAACAGATGTTGAGGACTCAGTATCTTGTAAGATTAGTTCCCTGACACTTAAAATGACACTGTCAACCTCCATAAGCTTATATATTTATCTACCTTAAACAAAATTGAAACCCATGCCTAATGTCCCACAGAAGTCCACCTTTTGGAAAAAAAAAAAGTTTTAAAATAGTCTCTTATTAATGAGACTGTTTCTCAGAACCCAAGGAAGGTATTTTGAAAGACATAGCACAGCCCAACATGATGTTACTAGGATGCACATGCTATGTATGGGACCATAAAGAGTAGAAGATCACAACTGCTGTGAAGAATTAAGCAGTGGACACCAAAAGTGTCGAGACAGATGGCAGAAGGAGCCACTGGTGGCACCTCTCAAGTTCCCTCTAGAACTGGGCTACTATCATGCTCTGGGGAAGATCATAGAATCATAGAATATCAGAGTTGGAAGGGACCTCTGGAGGTCATCTAGTCCAACCCCCTGCCCAGAGCAAGACCAGTCCCCGACTAAATCATCCCATCCAGAGCTTTGTCAAGCCTGACCTTAAAAACTTCTAAGGAAGGGGATTCCACCACCTCCCTAGGCAACAAATTCCTGTGTTTCACCACCCTCCTAGTGAAAAAGTTTTTCCTAATATCCAACCTAAATCTCCCCCACTGCAACTTGAGACCATTACTCCTTGTTCTGTCATCTGCTATCACTGAGAATAGTCTAGATCCATCCTCTTTGGATCCACTCTTCAGGTAGTTAAAAGCAGCTATCAAATCCCCCCTCATTCTTCTCTTCCGTAGACTAAACAAACCTAGTTCTCTCAGCCTCTCCTCATAAATCATGTGTTCCAGACCCCTAATCATTTTTGTTGCCCTTCGCTGGACTCTCTCCAATTTATCCACATCCTTCTTGTAGTGTGGGGCCCAAAACTGGACACAGTACTCCAGACGAGGCCTCCCCAATGTCGAATAGAGGGGAACGATCACGTCCCTCGATCTGCTGGCAATGCCTCTACTTATACACCCCAAAATGCCACTGGCCTTCTTGGCAACAAGGGCTCACTGTTGACTCATATCCAGTTTCTCGTCCACTGTCACCCCTAGGTCCTTCTCTGCAGGACTGCTGCCTAGCCATTTGGTCCCTAGTCTGTAGCGGTGCATGAGATTCTTCTGTCCTAAGTGCAGGACTCTGCACTTGTCCTTGTTGAAGCTCATCAGACTTCTTTTGGCCCAATCCTCCAATTTGTCTAGGTCCCTCTGTATCCTATCCCTACCCTCCAGTGTATCTACCACTCCTCCCAGTTTAGTGTCATCCACAAACTTGCTGAGGGTGCAATCCACACCATCCTCCAGATCATTAATGAAGATATTGAACAAAACCATCCCCAGGACCAACCCTTGGGGCACTCTGCTAGACACCGGCTGCTAACTAGACATGGAGCCATTGATCACTACCCGTTGAGCCCGACAATCTAGCAAACTTTCTACCCACCTTGTAGTGCATCCATCCAGCCCACACTTCTTTAACTTGCTGACAAGAGTACTGTGGGAGATCGTGTCAAAAGCTTTGCTAAAGTCAAGGAATAACACGTCCACTGCTTTCCCTTCATCCACAGAACCAGTTATCTCATCATAGAAGGCAATTAGATTAGTCAGGCATGACTTTCCCTTGGTGAATCCATGCTGACTGTTCCTGATCACTTTCCTCTCATCTAAGTGCTTCAGAATTGATTCCTTGAGGACCTGCTCCACGATTTTTCCGTGGACTGAGGTGAGGCTGACTGGCCTGTAGTTCCCAGGATCCTCCTTCTTCCCTTTTTTAAAGATGGGCACTACATTAGCCTTTTTCCAGTCGTCCGGGACCTTCCCGGATTGCCATGAGTTTTCAAAGATAATGGCCAATGGCTCTGCAATCACATCCGCCAATTCCTTTAGCACTCTCGGATGCAATGCATCCGGCCCCATGGACTTGTGCACATCCAGCTTTTCTAAATAGTCCCGAACCACTTCTTCAGATGTTCAGTTTGTCAGGGTCCCAGGCATAATAAGAGGTAAGGGAATTAGGAAAGAAGTGCTACTGAAAGAGATCGATATTTTACAGGTACTTAGAGCAGCATATGTGGGACTTTTATAGGACTCAGGAATTGTATGAGAGGTGCTGAGGGTTTTTCAGGGTTGGAGGTCATAGAGTGGGAAATGGAGAAGCAGCATGTTGATTTGTGAAACTAAATGTTTTGTGGGAGTTTTGTGGGGCAGACAAAATGAGAAACAATTGTCCAATTCACAATATTCTGCAACGATTTGATGGAGACAGACATTATGCCTAAACCAGGAGTCAGACTGCAGTAGGATGACCAACTGTTAGGTGGAGCACCAGCTACACTAAGCACTGTAGGGACCCATACAGGATTTCTTGCCTGTGGAAAAAGTGGCCCAGTCCAAATCCCACTGAAATAAATATCTTTAGGGGTTACAAAGAAATAGTTAACTCCAGCCCCTCCCCAACATCTGAGTGGAGCACCTGGATGTTTCAGAGGAAACCACTGTGCTCCTGCTGGAAGGAGATGAATCTGTGATTCTTGCTGTCAGGAGGTAACATTAATGTCTTATCCTTTATCAATACTCATGTAATACCATACTACTATATTAACTCCTTTACTGCTTTGGGAGCTCTGAGACAATTCAGGAGATTGACTGTGTACTAGCTCTGCGCTATCATGCAAATCCAAACCAAACAGAAATGGCTTTTTACTGAAATATAACGAGATTAAAGTTTCTATCAGACATTTGTCACGGCGCTGTTAAAGCTCCCTCTGCTGGACATTCACCAGGCTGCCACGTTTCAGTCTCACATGCCAGACCCATGTGATTCTAAGCTTCCCTTTGTCTGGGTAGCCTCCGGCTCTGTTTCTTTGGTCTCTCTGGAATACATCCCACTGGGCTAGGGTGACCAGCTAGCAAGTCACAGGGGATGGGTGGTAATAGGCGCCTATATAAGACAAAGCCCCCAATACTGGGACTGTCCCTATAAAATAGGGACATCTGGTCACCCTACGCTGGGCACAGTGTCTGTTACGCCTTCACAGAAGTGGGAACTCAGGGTCCAGCTGCCTTAGATTCTCAGAACCACCACCACCCCCTGCCAAGATACACCAGTTGCTTAAGCATACCCTTTCTCATAATTTCAGCCTTGTGAGCACTCTGGTGTACAGTTTAGCTGAAACATGTAACCCATAGACATTGCAGAAGGGATTCTAAAACACTTATCCTTTACTTTAAACAACATATGAGATATACCGATCCACACAAACCAACAGAATTCCAATTTATCATTCCCTTCCTTAATTTCCTCACCACTCAAGAGTTCTTTGTTTGGGATTGTCAAGGTTCCTTCTCCACTCTGAACGCTAGGGTACAGATGTGGGGACCTGCATGAAAAACCTCCTAAGCTTATCTTTACCAGCTTAGGTCAAAACTTCCCCAAGGTACAAAATATTCCACCCTTTGTCCTTGGATTGGCCACTACCACCACCAAACAAATACTGGTTACTGGGGAAGAGCTGTTTGGAAACGTCTTTCCCCCCAAAATACTTCCCAAAACCTTGCACCCCACTTCCTGGACAATCATAGAATCATAGAATATCAGGGTTGGAAGGGACCCCTGAAGGTCATCTAGTCCAACCCCCTGCTCGAAGCAGGACCAATTCCCAGTTAAATCATCCCAGCCAGGGCTTTGTCAAGCCTGACCTTAAAAACCTCTAAGGAAGGAGATTCTACCACCTCCCTAGGTAACGCATTCCAGTGTTTCACCACCCTCTTAGTGAAAAAGTTTTTCCTAATATCCAATCTAAACCTCTCCCACTGCAACTTGAGACCATTACTCCTCGTTCTGTCATCTGCTACCATTGAGAACAGTCTAGAGCCATCCTCTTTGGAACCCCCTTTCAGGTAGTTGAAAGCAGCTATCAAATCCCCCCTCATTCTTCTCTTCTGCAGGCTAAACAATCCCAGCTCCCTCAGCCTCTCCTCATAAGTCATGTGTTCTAGACCCCTAATCATTTTTGTTGCCCTTCGCTGGACTCTCTCCAATTTATCCACATCCTTCTTGTAGTGTGGGGCCCAAAACTGGACACAGTACTCCAGATGAGGCCTCACCAATGTCGAATAGAGGGGAACGATCACGTCCCTCGATCTGCTCGCTATGCCCCTACTTATACATCCCAAAATGCCATTGGCCTTCTTGGCAACAAGGGCACACTGCTGACTCATATCCAGCTTCAAGGTTTGGTAAAAAGCCTCACCAATTTGCCTAGGTGACTACAGATCCAGACCCTTGGATCTGAGAACAATGAAAAAGCATTCAGTTTTCTTACAAGAAGACTTTTCATAGAAATAGAAGTAAATAGAAGTAAAGAAATCCCCCCTGTAACATCAGGATGGTAGATACCTTACAGGGTAATTAGATTCAAAACATAGAGAACCCCTCTAGGCAAAACCTTAAGTTACAAAAAAGATACACAGACAGAAATAGTTATTCTATTCAGCACAATTCTTTTCTCAGCCATTTAAAGAAATCATAATCTAATGCATACCTAGCTGGATTACTTACTAAAAGTTCTAAGACTCCATTCCTGGTCTATCCCCAGCAGAAACAGCATATAGACAGACAGAAACCCTTTGTTTCTCTCCCTCCTCCCAGCTTTTGAAAGTATCTTGTCTCCTCATTGGTCATTTTGGTCAGGTGCCAGCGAGGTTACCTTTAGGCTTCTTAACCCTTTACAGGTGAGAGGAGCTTTCCCCTGGCCAGGAGGGATTTCA